ACACATAAGAACTAGCAGAACGATAGAAAACACAGAGACAACACAATACCCAGAATGCACCTGGCTAACAACCCCAGCCAGGTCATTACAATATACATATGTACATATTAATTAAACTTATGTTTACATGCTTTTTATCAGTATTTATTATAATTAACTTTGTTTTTATCAATATTTATTTATACTTTTAATCCTGTTTTTAACACTGGGTTACACATAACCCTCAAAGTAAACCACATTGCTGCATGCTCCAATAAAAGCATACTGCAAAAAATGTGAAAGTGTTGCATAGTTTAGAAGTTACAAATTCAGACTTGGTTCATGTGAATATAATGCAATTTAATGAAATGAAATCAACTTTTAGTTGTTTTTTTCCCCAAAACTTTAATTTGAATGTTGATTCAGATTTTTTTTAATCTTTATATCTTAAGTATAAAATGCATATGTATCATACTTATCCTTAAGACTTCACACGTAAAGCTAACAAGACATTACATTAAATATTGGCTACAAATAAGGACATCAGGAACAAGTGTGTGCATGGATAACCTGAGATGTGTCCCACCTCTACACAAAAACAGCACAAAGGCTAGAAAGAGAGAAAAAGATGAGACAGCATAGAGAGAACTGAGGGGCCATGACAAATACAAAGCAATGTTCCTGAAATATGTGGTAGATGAAACTGAACTGCTTCCTATATAAAAGGGCCATTAAGCTATTATCATATATCATCTGTTAGTTGCTAAAAATATTTCCTAAATTTTTCACATACCGCTGAGTTTATTTTGTGAAAAAAGAAGTATTTGTTGCTGAGTAGGAGGAGTCTATGTAAAACTGAGACCTTCAGTAGTTTTATATATCTTGGTACTCAATCTACCAGTGGCAGACTGGACAAAGACATCTGACCTTAACAATGATCAGATCAGTTTATTTGGTTGTTTTCGTGATTCTGTTTTTTTTCTTGACTGGTAAGGACATACATTTTTTTTGTACAAATTAAATGTTATGAAGTAAAGTCTTTGGAATAATAAGCCATCAACATTTCTATAGGTTCTGAGGGTCAAACACTGACTGAGTCTGAACCAGTAGTTAAAAGGCCTGGAGACTCCCACACACTGACCTGTACATACTCAGGGTTCAGTGGTGATTATAGTAATGCTTGGATCAGACAGGCTGCTGGAAAAGGACTGGAATGGGTCGCTATGATCAACAGTGGCAGTGGCTGCTGGTACTCTCAGTCATTCAGAGGTCGCTTTACCATCTCCAGAGACAACAGCAGAAAGCAGGTGTATCTGGAGATGAGCAGCTTGACGACTGAGGATTCTGCTGTTTATTATTGTGCTCGATACTCACAGTGACACAAGAGGAAGAAATGGTGTACAAAAACTTAACACATTAAACTAAATCTAAATTTTACTTTTCTTACCCAAAGGTACAAAAATTACATTTAACTCATCAACACACAAACATATCATCTGCCTCACAAGTTTTCATCTGCTTTGTTGTCAGTTTTTAATAAATAACAAACACATCAAACTTTATTTTGTATTTTGAATAATAATTTTCTTTTGATTATGCCAAAACTATTGTTTAGCACCAGTACTCATTGCCACAGGGTTGACAATTTTTTCTTATAATTTGTCAGCATCTGTCTGCATCCATAGAAACTTTCGTGACAGAGTCATATAACCACTAAGATCATGATCATCAGTTCATCAGTAGAAGAAAGCGATACCTTAGGGTTAGTGTTATCACCCTCAGTGTGTGTTCTCACTGAGGCAGACACACTCACAATATTGCCACTACACATTAACTGTTACTGTAAGTTATTTGACCGTTTCCTCAAACTGTGAACAATGACCACAGCCAGCCTTTATGACGTGCAGCCAGGTCTTCTGTCCATCACCTGCAGTGTCAGACACCTGAAGTGTGTCTTCTTCTGTGTCTTCTTCTACCACCTGTCTCTAATTCCTAAACAATTTAGGCCTTACTTTTATTAAACACCTTGAATTAAAGCTGAAAGTTTGCATGCCAATCACATCTTGCTTGACAGATTTAAAATCACTGGTGTATATGTAGCTTGACGACTGAGGATTCTGCCGTTTGGTTTTACGCTCAAGACTTCCAGTGCCACTGTTACGTCCCTCTGCAGCCCCTAATCTCCTCAATGTTTTCAGCTGGTGCTAATTGGCCACACCTAGTCAGGTGTGATCAACAGTGGCAGTGGCAGCTGGTACTCTCAGTCATTCAGAGGTCGCTTTACCATCTCCAGAGACAACAGCAGAAAGCAGGTGTATCTGCAGATGAACAGCTTGACAACTGAGGGTTCAGCTGTTTATTATTGTGCTCGGGAGTCACAGTGACACAAGAGGAAGAATCTTTGTACAAAAACTCAGCACATCACAAAAGGAACAATTTACTTTCTGCTGTTCACATTTATAGTAATGAACTGCAAGTCAACATCATTAACACAAGACGAAACAACAAAGGTACAAGGATCTTCAAAATAATTAACAATATCTGTTGGGATTAGTCATCAATTTGATAATCTATTTCAAAAAATTACTATAAATTGCACTCAGCATCTTGTTTAGTTTTCAGACCACATGCATTGATCTTTAATAGTATCTTTTTTTAAAGATAGACTTATTTATCATTACTTATTGCTGCCTGCAGGGAAAGGACTGGTATGGATCTGAATATAATCCTGGTGATTTATTCAGCAAAAATTCAGTAATTCAAAATTCAACTTAGACTATCCCACCAAAGCACTAACTGCAAGTGGACAGATTGTGCAGACTGAAGACACTGCTGTGTATTACTGTGGAAGAGAACCACAGCATCAAAACATCCATAGAGTTGAACAAAACCCCCTCAGTGCCTAAACAGTTATAACATGAAGCCACCAGAGGAGGAGCCCTCAGACCACTGATGAATTTAAGATATTACATTAATCAAGTGATTTTACAATGTGAGTTAAATTGCTAGAAGAATGATGACTGATGTAAAAATCAAGTCAGTAGATATTCCTTTATTGTATTTCACTTTAACATAAAACTCTGCACAGATACTTTGTGGCCACTGTGTTTACCTCAGATTGTTATTAAATAAGCAAACATCAGATTTTGTCTGAGGGTGTTTTTATTGTTGTTGTCTTTGTTGTATTTTTTTAGTAGCTGTCAGAAGGCCGAGTTAAAAAACAACAACGACTATTTTAGCTGACTTGGCACTGTATAAAAAACAGGTTAAATAATATGGTAAATAATATAATTTATTTTTTTATTCAGTCAGAAGCTAACTTCCACCTAGGCTAATATAAATACAATATATTTATATTATAATGTTTTAATAATATAAATATAATATATACATTTACAGAAGAAGAGATACGTCTAGTTTTGTAACTGTGCAATATTGAGAAAATATAGATGCTTGTTTAAAGAACTATAACATTTTAGATATTTTTAGTAAACTTTTAAAGATTCACAAAATGCAAGTATCACTGACAGTCATTGAGAGCAGGTTGACCAGCAAGTATTTATAAGACTAATATGCAAACGTGTTAAAAAGCAGTTTATATAACTGAATATCCAATTGTCAAAATTAAATAATTATGGTACATTAACATAAGGTGACTAAAAGCATTCATATAAAAAAGTTTAAATGTAATCATAAACACTGTGTGATAAATGTAAAGTTTTCAGGTACTAAAGATATAAAATTATTTTTACTATCAAAATTGTACCGTTTTAACACAGAATATATAAACTTTATTGCATGCAAACAATGTACATATTTTTTCGTGGTCTTGATAACTTGATAGCAGGATTTTATTCTTTATTATTGTGCCTGAGACTGACAGTGTCACAGGAGTGAGAAAAACGTTTTTTTACATAAGTTACAGAGATTACATTTAAGTCATCAACATAGTCAAAGATTCAATTCAGTAAAGCTGCTTCGCTGGGAGATTGTTTTTGTAAAATTATTTTTGAATGAAAAACACATCAAACTTTATATTTGTGTTTTAAATAATATTGTTATTTTAATTAGTTAAAAAAAATTGTAAATACTGATTGCCGCAGTGTGATCTCTTATAGCAAAATTTAACACATTTCCTACGTGTGGGATTAATAAAGGTTATCTTATCTTATCTTATAATCTGTCAGCATCCATCCATATGCAAAGCAAACTTCCTGACAGTCGACTATAAAGACTTGAAATCATGGTGTCAGTTAAAGCAGAAGAAAAGTTCTCATCAGATTATCTTGAGTACCAAAATTGTCGTGGTCTGGGTGGTTTTCCACAGCATCAGCTCCTCCCCACTGGGTGGAGTCTTTGTTGTTCCTCACCTGATGGCAATCGTACCAGCAGTATTTATGACCGGCGCACTCAACTGGTCTTCGCCAGATTATCTGCCAACTTTAGTCAGTTCTCGGCCTCATGTCCGTTCCTTGGTGACTCATCGTGTGTATTAACCGTATCTCTGTTTTTCTCGTCAGCCTCTGAGAACCACCTACCAAGTTCTCCTGGATACCAGTTTGCTGCCGCCGGTAATCCCTCTCCATTTTGGAACTGCCATTCTCTCCTGCCTGCCTCCCTGCATTGCATACAGCACCCACCTGGACCTCTCCTGCCTCCCCCCTCCAAGCAAACCCAACTGCAAGCTTGTAAGACAGCTCAGTGTACTATCCTTAGATTCACTCGCAATCCTCTGTGGGATTCCCCTGACTGCTCTCTCCTCTGTTTCAGTGCCCTGGCCCGCCACAGTTTCCCCTGCCCAGTACCTGCACCCAGTTATCCCTGCCATCTAGTTATCATCACAGAATTTTCTCTCGCCTCAGACATCTAGTTTATGTTCATTGATTCTAGTCTGCACTTTCTGTTAGCCTCTGAGCATTGTAAAATAAAATCTCTTTTTGTTACACCTCACTCCTGGCCTCCGGTTTTGAATCTGCACTTGAGTCCATCCCATTTCCACGGGCCACTGCGCCCTGACAAAAATGTTCTCTGTGGCTCTGCTGCTCCTGCTGGCTGCTGGATCCTGTGAGTCTGACTGGAAAAAAACACTGACAGAATGATCACAGCATACTGACTGTTGCTGTTACATTGTCACATAAAACATGTTTTTTTCCACAGGTGTGAAGTGTGAGCAGATGACACATCCAGCCTCTGTGATTGTGCAGCCAGGTCAGCGTCTGACCATCACCTGTCAGGTGTCTTATTCTCTAGGCAGCTGGAGGACAGCTTGGATTGGACAGCCTGCAGGGAAAGGACTGGAGTGGATTGGAATGAAATATACTGGAGATTCAGTTTACAAAGATTCATTAAAGAACAAGTTTAGCATTGACTTAGACACTTCAAGCAAGGCAGTGACTTTAAATGGACAAAATATGCAGCCTGAAGACACTGCTGTGTATTACTGTGCCAGAGAGTCACAGTCACACAAACCATCAGTAGAGCTGTACAAAAACTCCTTAGACCCTCAGTACTGGTGAAACCATTAAAGAAGCGGAGGTACAACCCTCAGACAAATAATGATTTTAGACTGGTTCTGTAAAAACATAAAATAAAATTGAACTTTCTTTACAAAAAGGAAATAAACAAAAACAAATAACATGTAAACTAAGTCAAAAATGCTTTCTACATTTCAAATGTACAGAAACGAAGTACAGTTATTAACACGCTCAAAGAAATAATAACATAATCTGCTTGCTTATATATGAAATGTTTTCACAACAATTTCCAGTCTAGCTGTAAATGAGGGTGTAATCCATAGTTCCTTTGTTGTCTTTCAGTGTCAATGTTTATGTAAAGTAAACTTCCTCACAGACTCTTATAAATACCTGATATGATGCTGTGAGTTCCAACAGGAGAGCAGGAGCTCCCATCAGACCAACTTCGGTACCAAAATGTTCTTTGTGCTGCTTCTGTTGGCTGGTTGGGCCTGTGAGTCAGAGGAACTGAGCCAGAAATACTAACAGTATGATTGAAGAATATTGTTATTATTTTTTACAATTGCACTGATGTTTTATCCACAGGTGTGAAGTGTAAGCAGCTGACACAGCCAGCCTCTGTGATTGCGCAGCCAGGTCAAAGTCTGACAATCACCTGTCAGGTCTTTTATTCTCTGGGCAGGTATCGGACAGCTTGGATTAGACAGCCTGCAGGGAAAGGACTGGAGTGGATTATAAGTGGAGGCAGTGGACATAAAATATGGACATAAAATCATTTGTTTCTCTCTTGCTCTTGATGAAGGCGGTCGCACTTTTCTCTTCTCCTCCTCCTCCTCTCTCTTAGCTTTCCTGCTTACCCTCTTGTGTCCTTGTCTAGTCTTGTGTTTTTTGTATTACTTTTCCCTGGAACACTCTCTCACAGTCTGTTCTCTAAAACCTAAAAGAGGAATTATGGATTTGATCAACTGGTCCCTGAATGCAATTGACACTCTTTCCTCAATGAGAAGTCTGGGCTCGGGTGAGCCTGAGTGTCCTGGAGGTACTTTCCTTGCACACGATGGACGAGTGGCAGAACGGGAGGGTGGTGTGCCTGGCGGGAGTGTCGATCGAAGACGCTGAAGATATCTACCTATTCGGAACCATGATAACAGGGTTTTTGCTGATCAGAGCTGGCTTGGCCCTGGCTTATCGAAGAATTAAGGAAGCGGAACCGGCTGTTAAAACCCCCACAAGGCTGCCCGCTGGGATTGGAACGATGGGGAGAGGCGTGAGTTTCTCGAAATGGGCTCATTGAGTCAGCACAGATAAGATCTTGGAGAACGCACGGCTGCTGTGAATACTCAGAATAAGATCTCTGAGCGCAAATTGGATAATATCTTGGAGAAGCTCACTGCGGTCGTGAGTTCTCAGAATCTGCTCTTTGAGCACAAGAATGACAACATCATGGAGCGCAAGTTTGATAACATCATGGAGAAGCTCGCGGCTCTCCAACGGGAGATTGAGAGACCAGTGTCGGACTGTTAGAACAGCTTTGAAATTCATATGAGTTGTTCGCACTAAAGTAAACACATCATCACTTCATGCGGCTACCACTCGGCGCCAGCTGTGGTCTCAAGGCTGGAACTGAACAACAACACCCTGATAACGACTGTGTTTAGACTGTTCTTCCTATCTTAAGCAAGGCCACCTGGGTTGGCTGGAAGACTGTTTACTTAGCCTGGCAGGGCGAAGGACACTGTCTCAGCTGAACTCTGGACACATACACACACACGCACACAGACATATATACACACGCAGATGTACACTCATCCCCCCTCCCCCTCCAAACGCCTTCGACGCTTATTCCGCTCCAATGCTGACGGTGGATCAAGGGGACCAGCGCATATGCTGCAGGCCCGGATGTACTGTCTACACTGGCTGTCTCTCACCCTTTACCCACCCCTGTTGCTTGTCATGTGTTTCTTTGGTGTATTAAGAGTTTTTTCATGTGTTATGTGCAGAGGTGTTTTCTTCTGTTCTCAAACTGATCTCTCTGTTGAAGCTCAGTCTGGGGGGAGTTATTTTATCACTCATCTTTCCTCATGTTGTGCATTTCCCATGTTATACCTCTCTGACCTGTCTTCCCCATGTGATGTTTGTGTAATGTATGTATGGTCGGAAGGGTAAGATGGCGCTGGCACGGCTGGCAGCCTTAACCCAATTTCCCTCGGGATGAATAAAGTATGATCAATCAATCAATATACCACATACTACAAAGATTCACTAAAGAATAACTTCAATATTAGCGCTGACTCTTCCACCAAGACAGTGACTTTAAGTGGAAAGAATGTGCAGGCTGAAAACACTGCTGTGTATTACTGTGCCATTGAGTCACAGTAGCAGAAACCATCAGCAAGCCTGAACAAAAACTCTTCAATGTCTGAATAGTTGTAACATGAAGCCACCAGAGGAGGAGCCCTTAGACCATTTATGGTTTTGGAGTGGTTAAATAAGAAAGGCTTGTATACTTTCTATAACAATGAAAACTTGAAAAACAAAAACTTGAAAAACAAAAACAAAGAAAATATGAAAATTACACTAATGATATATGCTACACCCATAACTTAACTTGCTATGCCTAAGATTAATCAAACTAGCTTGTGCCCAACATAAAGACATAACATAAACAACTATAATGCAAGTTTGTAATGAAATGTCTTCAAATTAGAACTTAAGATAAGATTAGTTGTTATAACTTCAATGAAGTTTGAGTTTATAAAGCTCCATAGATGTCATTAAAATAAAAAAGTGTGCATGCTTCAAAGCCTCTTATTCTATATTCTTCCATTTTATGAAATTAACAAACAAAAATGTGTGCTGCTTAATATTAGCAGTGTAAGAGCACATATTCCAGTGTTCACAAATAATAGCAAAAGATTACAGTAGAAGAAAAAGATGAACACATACGCAGACATGCTGCAGTTCATGAATTTCTACAAAAAATGCAACATGATGAAAATCATGAGTGCTACTGACTATTTTGCATGAGCTAAGGTGTGGTCCTCTAACAGATGGAGGAACTAATGCAAGGTTAACTTTTCCCTAATTAATTTCCCCTAATAATTAAATATTTGTTTGTAGGTACTGTTAAATCTTAACTGAGTGTGAATCAGTGGTCAAAATGCCTGAAGAATCCCAGAGACTGATGGGTATAAAGTGAGAGTTTGACAGTCATTACTGGAACCCTTGAATCAGACATGCTCCTATAGTGCAGTGCTACTCTGATTGAAATGAATATTACTCTCATCTTCATAGACAGCAGACAGAAATTCAGTCACACTGTCTTAATAATTGTTCATTTGAATCATTAGAAAATTCTGCATCGCAATTATTTATAGTACATGGTTATATTACTGACAAATGTCATTTATACATTTTCCAGCTTTTGCTTCTCACTTTGTGAAAAAGAGTTTTTTGTTTTTTGTTGAGTAGGAGGAGCCAATGCAAAACTTATATGGCCAATGCCTTCAAATGTTCATCTGCAGAGTAAAAGTCACAGACTGCAGAGTGGACAACAACAATGACTTTTGCAATGATCAGACCAAACTGTTTAGTTGTTTCTCTCATTTTGTTTTCTACCTTGGCTGGTAAGGATACATAAATCTGTTTGACAAACAAACATTATTCTAATGAAAATGTGATCACAACAATAAGTTAATATTTCTGTAGGTACTGAGGGTCAAACACTGACTGAGTCTGAATCAGTGGTTAAAAGGCCTGGAGACTCCCACACACTGACGTGTACATACTCAGGGTTCAGCAGTGATATTGATGCTGCTTGGATCAGACAAGCTGCTGGAAAAGGACTGGAATGGATCGCCTATCGCAGCAGTGGCAGTAGCTATATCCACTACTCTCAGTCAGTCAGAGGCCGCTTCACCATCACCAGAGACAACAGCAGAAAGCAGGTGTATCTGCAGATGAGCAGCTTGACGACTGAGGACTCAGCTGTTTATTATTGTGCTCGAAAGCCACAGTGACACAAGAGAACGAAACTCTGTACAAAAACTTAACACCCCAGGTCAAACCAAAACTATTCTTTTCTTTACTTCATTATCATATACACATTCAGAAAAAAATAGCCACAATAAATGTTCATGGTTTTTGTGTGTTCTATCTCCACATACCGGTGTTTCTAATCAGTCAGTGTTTTCTATGCAAAGCAATTTTGTTTCGCAGTCTGATGATTCTTTTAAAGATATATCTGATTTGTTTACGTACTGATAATTTACTTTTATTTAGAATTAAATGGCCATTAAATTTAGCGTTTAAAAAAACTAGTAAATGGCTTTAAAACATTTTGGGCCACAGCATGAGTTCTGCTAAAGCTGTATTTAAAAGCCATGTTCTCATATAATAAATATTATCAACACTTCATTGATTTGAAATTTATTGTTAACCTGAGTTTTACTGATTCACTGTTTCTTTGTTCAGTGAATAAAAAAGTTACTAACACATTCCAATAATATATTGACATTAACAGTGGTGAAACTGCATCCTGAAGACACTGTCTATTACTGTGTATGTGGCACTGTTACCAACCATCAACAGACACGCACAGATGAAACGTATCCACTGACACAGGAAAAAAAATAACCAAACACAAAAAAATAAACACACCAAAAAATAATAATTAGATATTTTAGATTGTAGATATTTTAATTGCAGATGTCTGTTTTCGTCGTGTTTCAACAGTTTAATGGTGTTTTTCTTTTCTTTTGTCACCCCCTTTTTTAGGATATCACAATTCATGCCAGGTGCAATTTTCCAGTCAACTGGGGTGCATTTCTTCATACATTAATCAAGCATGTACTTTCATGGACTGTCAGGAAAAAAAAATAACAGGAAAGGCAATTTTGGATAGTTAAATGACTTAATTGAAAATGTTTTAATGTAGAACTGTTTAATAAACATTAACATATTATTTTTTTCCCCAAGTAATACCTTTCAAAATGACAATGAAAAATGCAGTATTTTACAATGACCTGATTTTTAACATGAAA